TGTGCAACAGGCCCATTATATTGGCCCAGCTTGTAATTTCCTTTTTTTTTCTTAATGATTACATTCAATCCCAATACAAATGAGAAATCTAAGAACAGTTTCAATTTATTTTTTGAAAATATTCTTTCCTTTGTTCTTGTAGCCCAAGTCCTTCAAAGGGAGCTCCAACTACACGTGCACTTTGTGGTCTTAGTGTAGCTGAAAACATTTGTTTCAAATATGTATTCACTTCAAATGCCACCTTCTAAGGATTTGTAACCTTGCCAGGTGTATTTTCATTTGGATACAGCTAATATACATCATTACTGACCACATCCTACAGCAGGTCAGGGACTAAGAGCTTTCCTTCACAGAGGTAGTCATACCACATGGACTCAGAGTTGCCTAAGGACCAGCACTTCGGCTGCTGGTGTGCTGAAATCTCTGCCTGCCTTGTTGAGGAACCGTATTTTGAGGGTTTTTTTGTGTGCTCTTCCTGGCTTGTCAATTGAGGAGAAACCTGTGAAGAGGGGAGGCAGTGAGTGAGATGCTGTAGCTTAGAAGAGATGGGATCCCAAGTGCAAATTGTCACCCAGTGGGGGTAGGATGTACAAGGATTCGGAGTTTTCAAGTCTCCACATGAGAACAGGGAGATCCTAGACTGACCTCTTCGCTAGCATTTGAGCTGCAGATACTCTTTAAGTCAGCATGCTGCCCCTGAAACTCTGGCAGAGACAACTTGCAGCATTTCCCAGAAAGACCTTGTAGCCTTTTCATCGCAAGGTGGTGTGGGGCTCTTACTATCACTTGCCATGATGTTGATGAGGCAGCTAATTGATGTAACGGGACATAGGATGTGGTGTTTCTCTTTGTAAAGAAAGGACTAGTTGATCAAAGGGAAAATGGGAAGGAAGGAGGCAAAGGAAACAGGGCAGTTTAATTCAAAGTGCCCACTTACGTCATAAAAAGTAATCTCAAAGAAGAACTGAGACTTTTGAGAGTAGCCTCTGATTCCAGTAAAGCCTGTGCTGGATTTACTCAGGAGGCATTTCTAACCTCGAGTCGCCTCACAGGGACAACTCACATACACAGGAAGCTATGAAGAGTTCAGTAGTAATTTAAACTACTCCAGCAGGGAGTGAAAACATTGCTCATATGTGGGGAGCAACTCCAATGGAAGGATCAATTCTAGAAATGGAGCTTCCTACTTAATCCCAAATAGGATGGCTAGAAACACGTAACTGAAAGCCTAGTGAATTGTGGTCCCAAGGACGAGACTGTGGCCCTCTCTAGCATGTCAGCTTGGAACACAACTCCTGGACCCACTGAGAATAAATGCAAATCCTGGTTGGTTTTTGGGAGGTTTGGTGGTGTGTTTTTTTCCCCAGTTACTCCAAGCACAAATATGTCTCTTAGATGCAGAATTCAGAAAACCTTTTTGCAGAAAATCCTAATCCAAAATGGTACATGGCTGTCTTTCAACAGCCAGTTGTCCATAGCAATCATTAACAATGCTCCTGAGAAGGAAATGCATTTAGGTGCAAAGACTGAAGATATCATTTATTCAAGGGTAGACACCTAATTAGTGTAAACTGGCAACTGTAATGACATTGCCTGACTCTGGAACATCTTGATTTCTACTGCCTTATCCCCTCCTCCCCCAGGACCTAGTGAAATTCTTATTTCCTGGACTTCTGCAGAGCAGCAAAGAGAATGCATGCAACCCAAATTACCTCTGCACCAAACCTTTGATTTAGTTGCCCATAAAGCCACATTTTGCTTGGGAAAATGGACGGTGAATATAGTACCGTTCATACATTCAACTCACCATTCAGTTCAGGAGCAGGCTTTTGGCTGCTGCTGAACTCTGAAGCGTTTGCTCCGGTTAGAATGGAAGACAGGGAGGGACTGAAGGAATGAAGTACGAGAGGATCCAGCAAAATCAGCTTAGCGCTGGGCGGCTGCAGGGCAGTAGAGGATCAGCGTGAGCCTCTGAGATATGCCACAGGGAACGCGTGGCAGAAGGAAGTGACTGCCAGTTAGGCTGCCTATTAATCCAGGGGAACAATGCTCTACCTCTATTGAGGACATTGATTTTTCTGTGTGGTGCATTGTTTTACCGTAGTACTCTAAAGATGCATTGATAGAGGCACTAACAAACACATTGTTCACTATCTTTAAGATTTTTTTTAAAAAAGACATTGATTAAATAGACATCTGTGGTATACAGTGGGGAATTACAATGTACTCGAGTGGGAAGGAACAAACCCAACCAACCCAGGGTTTTGTTTTCTTAAGCAGTCATGATCACCTCAGCAGAATGGCCTCACAGTTTCCTTCCATCACAAAAATTACCTAGTCCTTCAGGCTGGTACAGATGACAGTGCTTGACACACCCATAAAAGTCTTGTACAAAGCTGGAAAAACCCTTCTTTTCTTCCTTCTTCAGTTTCCCCATATGCAAGAGGTTAAATAACTTGCACATTCATACAAAATATAAAAAATTAGTTTGGTTTAACTCCAGCAGACTCATCAAAGACACATAACCTCTTACCTGAGGAAACAAGCAGAAGTGAGGTATGCTCTTACTTTCCTGCTAGGGCCCTGAAACTCCTGCAAATAGGTCTTTATATATTCCTTTAGATTAAACCTTTAATATCATCCAATTCAACATTTTTATTATGGTGCTAAATATTTTTAGGTCTTTAAAACTGTCTCTAAAGCTTTAATGTATTTATAGTTGATATTACATAAAATTAACATTGTACATTCAACTTCTTATCATGTATGTATCTTGTCTGAACTGCCTCCTTTGTAGGATTTACCATTCAATTTCAAAAATTCTGAATTGTCGTCATACACATCAGCAAGACTGCAAATTAAAGGCTAACCCAGTCTGCCTCCATCAGGACAGGACTGAACATAAGAATTGTATAAGCTTAACCTAATGCCTTTACAATGAGGTGAGCGATTTTAAATAGCATTTATTTTCACCAGACTAATTTCACCTCTCCGTGCTAGGCTTATTTCTCAAATTCACTTAGCTGAAAAAAATCTGAAGATCTTTGTAGAAGGGGAAAAATAAGGGCACTCTTGAATTGAAGCCTACTGAAGGGCTTTAAGACTGCAACAACAGGTCCAGAGAACACAGGCATTCCCCCCATAAAAGACTTCAGAAAGCCTTCCAGAAAGAACTCAGACCCCTTCCTGTGATTCTGCAGAAACCGTATCTTTTAAATACGACAACAGGAGCCCAATGGATTGCAACGGCTGAGGGTCATGCCTTCTTCCTCCATGACTAACAGATCTTCATTTCTTTCCCCCATCCCAGCCTGCCAGGTTTTTCTCTCTTCTCCATAAAAGGAGGACATGCCATCTTCACCACTTCCTTTCTCCGCCTGCATTATCAATTTTGATTAAGCAGTTTACAGAGCCAATTATGGGCTAAACTGGGTAGAAAATGCCTTTCATTCTGCAAAAATACTTTAAAGGACAGGGGAAAAAAAAAGCAAGGCAGCCACTGTAGGATAAACCATCTGTAGATGGACAACTTCAATGTATCTAACTTACACAGTGAAAGTTTTACAACAAAAGCTCTTGTTACTCTGTCTCTCTTGATTATGCATTTAACAGTTTTAATCCTGCAAAACTCTCAACTTCAGTAAGGTCCTGTAGCAAATTAAACAGCTCATGCTGGTGTCAGCTCTTCTCACTTTTGCTAGCATTGGTGGTTTGCTTGAATACTCTTTTTAGTGACTAACACACAAGCTGACATGAAGGTGAAGGCAGGATTATTTCTATGGTATTGTACACTAGATCAAATTTAAATCAATCAGCAATTTATTTTAAAAAGGCACTCCCCTCCACTTAATTCTATTTTTTAAGTGACAATCAAATATAAGGATGAACCAGGAAGGTTAGCTTTTGCAGGAAGCAGCAGATTCCTGGAGCCAGTAAAACTGCTAGAATTATTTCACCATGCACAAATTTGATTTAAAAAAACCCACCAAGTTTTGCATAAGCTCACTGTATGCAGAGCTCTGTGACACATTACACCTGGAAGTTACAGACAAGATCTTTGTAATGAGTATTACGTAATAAGGAATAGCATTCCATTTCAGATTACTTTCTCAGTTTTCAAACCTGCTGATTTAAAGTCCCCTGTCACCTTTTTCAGTAACGATAGTTACCAAAGAGCTAGCTGAGATTTTCGAAGTCGGCTCTGACAAGAAGGATTTGTTCATTAAAAATAAAAAATGTAGCAAAGCTAAAATTAAACCAATTGGTCTCTTACTGAGAGGAAAAAAGCTAACAATAGCCATTTGCTTGTTATGGAACACAGCATTAGAAATACCAGACTCAGAGGACTGAGCAGTCCTGTCCACAGGATTTTTACTGTGTAAAAATCAAGATCTTTTAGTTACTACGCATTCAATTTTTAATACATTACCACCTGAAGCCTCACCTGTTTTGTTCTAGGAATGCCTTGTGTTCATATGTTCACAATAATGGGTTTTTTTAACGCTATTGCAGACAATCCTTGCTCATTCCTCTACATTCCTCTACTCAGCCTCCACCTCACAGTTCATTAGCAATCTAAAGGCACAGCCGCAGACCTATGTAGAGATTGTTCCGTCCACCCAAACCTGTGAGAATGAACGCCACATGCAGGTGGTCAAATGGGACATGTGTTGGTATGTTACACAATTCCAACATGGGCCTTTTATAATCACATTGCTTACCGATCATCTCTCTAGGGTATTTAAAGGTCTATTTCTAGTTAGACAATGACAAGAGCTCAGACATCATGCTAGTAAGGATTTAAAACCCAGATATGGATCTAGCCACTCTTTACATTTGTTTTAGTGCCTAAGTTTATATTATCACTAACAGGGGGCTAAATATAGGCTAATCTTCTCGAGAAACTGCTGAAACATACTATAGACTGGGATTCTAACTTGGCATTCCGAATTACAACCTTATGAGAAGTACACTCTACAACAGAAGCCATCACAAGTCAGTCAGTGTTTAAGGAATTTTTATTAAACCAAGAATTTTATAATCCAAATTACGTTTCTTTGCTCAGCTATCAATTCTCACTGTCAACTAAAACAGTGGTGATATTCTGAGCTTTTCCACAGTAAAGAATTACAAAATTAAAGAAAGGAATGCTTTAAATTTTTGTACTGTGCTGAAAATTCTTTTCCCCCGGGTTTATAAAACATTAATTTGTATTTTTTATTTTACTATTTTTTTTAAAATTTTAAATCAATAAGTAATCTAGGACTAGCATTTGTTTTGCTAGCCCCGGCGTTGCTCTGTACATAAGCTTCAAAGTTTCCTTTCCTTTTTTTATTTATTTTATATTTTGCAATGTTTTTCTCAATATTTAATAGTTTTTCCATGTTTAGATTTTTTTTTTCTTCGGTGAAGCGAAGTTCTAGATTGTAGTCCCGGATCTTTCTGCAAACAGAAACAATGTTGTTAGGTTTTAAAATGAAAGCAACACCTTATGTTTTCTGACATGCTTTCTGCAACTGTAAGCTGAAGAGCACTTTGGGCTTTCACAGTTATCAGTCAGACCAAAGTTCTTTACAAGCAGAGTATCAGCAGTATCCCCCACTTTTTAGAGACATGGAAGTAAAGTACCCCAAATTTATGAAACTTGGTAGGACAAAACTTGAGTCTGGAACTAAGCAGTACTCTGCACAGCACAGACTCAGACAATGGCTACACACACATTAATTTGTTACTGTAACTAACTTGACTGCAGGCCACCTCTATTCTTAAGGTCAGCATACCAAAGCTTATCAAATAACTACACTCGTAGTATTTCCAATTTCCAGTTACTAAAGCATCATTGAACATACGGAGTCATGGTCATCTTAGTTTGGGCATCTTAGTTTAGGACAGACAACTTATTCAGCACTTATCTCTCCAGTGTGAAAGTGTCACTAACAAAAAAATATGGAAAAAGAAAGAAGTGTGGAAAAAAACAACTCAAATTCTGCCTCCAAAAGGAAAGTTGCAGAAATGAGAAGACCAAGAAAAAAGAAAATGTTAAATGATCAAATGTTAAAGCAGGCATCTTCAACTGGGAGCTATAAATGTGGAAAGTAAGTTCATGGACAGGGAAAACCTAACTGGACTGAACATTGTCTCCTCTCAAAATTGTAAAGATAACACCTTTTGCCTCTTCCTGTCATGCAAAATTAAGATACTACTGCAGTACTTGGAGTACTGCATCCAGCTCTGGGGGCCCCAGTACAAGACAGACATCGAGCTGTTGGAGAGAGTCCAGAGGAGGGCCACGAAGGTGATCAGAGGGCTGGACCATCTCTCCTATGAGGACAGGCTGAGGGTTGTTCAGCCTGGAGAAGAGAAGGCTCTGGGGAGATCTAATTGCAGCTTACCAGCACCTGAAGGGGCCTACAGGAAAGCTGGTGAGGGACTGTTTATCAGGGAGTGTAGTGACAGGACAAGGGGTAATGGGTTCAAGCTGAAGGAGGGTTGATTTAGATCAGATATCAGAAAGAAATTCTTTACTGTTAGAGTGGTGAGGCACTGGAACAGGTTGCCCAGACAATTTGTGGATGCCCCATCCCTGGAAGTGTTCAAGGCCAGGCTGGATGAGGCTTTGGGCAACCTGGTCTAGTGGAGGGTGTCCCTGCCCATGGCAGGGGGGGTGGGAATAGATGATCTTTGAGGGCCCTTCCAACCCAAACCATTCTATGATACTAATCCCATAGAAGGCAATGAAGAAAATCTATTTTAACTGACATTAAATTCACCAAAATGTGAAGTCAAGACAATACATAGTTTAGTTTTTAATTACCGTATAATTGTAGGTTTTGGCAAGTATATACAAATTACAGTGTAAATAAGCTATTTAATTGCCAAGAAAAAATAGGGTTGGAGTATCATTTTAAGCTTACTTCAGTTCCACAAGTTTTTTGAACAGCAAACAGTATGAATAGTAGTGTTTGTCAGAACTGCCCATTTTTGCAAGTGTGCCTAGAACTAATTCCAGGTAAATAGGCTGTTAAAAACAATGCTTTAATTCCAGCTAAATATGCAACACAGTATCAGTAGCATTTGCTAACCAAGAGCTACAGAACTGGAAAACAGGCTTGGGCACATTTGTTTACAACTGTGACCATAGCTGCTGCTTTCTGTGGCTGCAGATGATAGAAAGCCTGGAAGCACGCTGCTTTTAAGGGCCACGGACTAAGGACTACTGCCCCAGTCAACCTATAAAACTACAGTGCTCGGAAAACTTACTTATTAAACACTTGGAACCCCAGTGGGATTATTAACTGCCTTTTGAGCAGCCTCTTTAGCTTGGTGGGCTTGTAGTACGGCTACAGCTTCATCAACCTGTTAAGTAAAAAAGAAAAATTAAGAAAGGGAAGCTTAGTGATTTCTGTATATTTAGGCTAATGAAACAGTTTAAGTTATACATACAAACAATGCCTGCATTGTTAATAAGAAAAGGATAACATTACAGCTCCAGTTCACACTGAGGTAAGTCATTGCCACCCTCTGAAAGAGGGTATTTAATTTCTCAGCCTGGGCCACTGTTGCATTGCTGCTACCCCACTGTGCCAGCACAAACACCTGTTATATCAGTGCAGACTTAACTGCTGACAGAACTGGTGTAAGGCAAAAGTCCACCTACCTTCGAACGAAGAGACTCAGGAGACTCGAGCATGTGGAGGAGTTCAGAGTTGTCAATCTCCAACAACATACCAGTGATCTTACCCGCCAGAGTAGGGTGCATGCTTTGAATGAGAGGAAATAGACGTTCACCTAGAGAGAAACAAGTTAACCAGTGACAAATCTCATCTGACAAACACAGCCTAGATTTACAGGAAAAGGGAAACGAACACCTTGTTCTACTGCTGAAACCATTTATTCCACATTTTAAGATTGATTAAAGAGTTCTTTGACTGTCCTTCTGCTACAAGGCAGAGAATGGTATCATGTACATACCTAACATCTGCTTTTGTTCTTGTGGAGGGGCAGAAGCCAACATGGAAGCAGTCAAGGGTTCCTGACCTTGCACATGGACAGCAGGCTGCAAATTAATTAACACAATTTCAAAATTCAATTCTAGCTCATAATTAAGTGCAGCTTCAAATATCCAATGTTGTACAACTCAGCATAAGCAATGCGACACTGTCAGAAACATGGAAGAAATTACAACTAAGTCAATTTAATCAAATAGTACTAGTTAGAGCTGAGCGATGCTGGAGATTAGTATCAACCACTCCATCGTAGAGCCAACACAAGGAGAATTTAGGCTAAGGCATCAGGCAAGTAGAAAATAAGAAGTAACACAGGATCACATCCTGCCCCAGGTGAACTTGAAATATACTTAAAACCCCAAGGCTCTAACTCTGCTGCCACAATGTAGAGCCTGAATTCCAGAATAACAAAGGCAACTCTTAATCATAAGCGCCCCCCTCCTTCCTCTGCAAAAACACCAGCTGAAGCACGGACTGGTTCCTAAAATTACATACCTGCTGCATAGCAACCTGAGGCTGTGTATTAAGATGTTGCTGAGGATTACGAACACCTGCAGCATATTTGTATTGTGGTACTGTGCGTACAGCCGGAGTAGCTGCAGTGGCTGCTGCTGCAGGACGTGGACCCATTGTTTGTGTTGATGTATTAGCTGAAAAAAAAACCATAATTCCATATGTGAATAATTGATTTGTATTTCGCCTACACTGTACGAGTTACAAGAACAGCCCAAATGGAATACCTAATTGAGATACTGTATTATACATTAATCTCAGCAGTGTTGTCAACTGTCACATCACTGGTCATATCTGAAGGTTCAAAGCTCGAAATTTACTGGATGTTACTTTCCAGTCATTTCACTAATGAATTGCTTTCTTACATGCTATTGAAAAAAGATCTATGAGAAAACATTCACTTTGGTTGTGTATTAATTTAATTTCATTCTAACCTCAAAGGACACTTGATTTCCTGAGCACATTACATCAACAGTCATCCTAAAAAAGATACTTTCATGAAGTAGGTAGCTAAAAAATACAACTGCCTAATACATTCTGAGAGAATTAAGACTCCATTACAATAAATTCTGGTTCACTCAGTGATGTGCAGATTCTGCATACGTGACACTGGCTCACAGTATTCTGTAACAAAATAGTTAAGAGCTAAAATTCTATCGTCTCAGTATTTCTACATGCAACCTATTATTACAATTGCCACAACAATGTTTAAAAACAGCAGCAGCTCTCATACAGTATTATGAAAATGCACACTAAAGTAAGAAATGCTTCATGCTAAAGAAATGAGACTACAGCAGTTTGTTGCTGGGACAATATCTGAAGCAACTACTAGAAGCTTACTCATTTAGTAAGAGTCAGAAAAGGAGGGAAGTGTTACCGCATGTGATGTTGAACTTACGAATGCTTTCGAGAGATCATTCTGACTCAGTCCAATTAAAAAAAGAAGTCTAATACTTAAAGTTTGCATAAATGAAACTCACCAACACGTTGTGTTGACATGACTCGTGGAACTTGTGAAGAAGCTGGTCTCATGGTACTAAATGGTGGTCTGGGTGCTGCTGGGCGGATTGCACCAGGCATGTTTTGGAATGCTATGTTTTAGAGAAAATACATTAAGTTACATGCTGAAACACTCAATGGTGAAAAGAGTTCAGAAGTAATACCGCTAACAGGACAAAGAGAAGACTGATACTGTAATGTTGTGAGAATGTATTTAAAAAGTGCAAAGGTAAATGCTATGGAGTTTACTGCTATCACTGGGAAGAGTTAAAGAAGTGACTTACGATGAGGTCTGGCACCCTGAGCAGTCCAGCGAGGACTAGGTCTAGCAAGTTGAGCGAGCTGATTAGTAGGATAGTATGCAGCACGGTTCTGAGTCTGTCAAATATAAAACCCATGTGTAACTTATCTTTGAAGGGCAGGCTGAACAGTCCATCACCTTTCTGCTATGCAATTAGAATGCTGAAATTATGGGCACATGCTAACATTTACATTTACTGTTGAATTAAACAGATTTTATACACAGTACAAAGCAGTCACTCATCTCTGTACATACCTGTGGGATAGCTGCCATGAAGTAACCTGAAGGAGGTGCTGGTTGGTATGGGTTGATTACAGGATTAGGTACTGCTCTTACACTTGCCATTCGCTGCATATACTGGTTGGTGAGATGAGCTTGGCGCTCTTCTTTACGCTGGGCTAGAGCTACATATAATGGTTTAGTAGCCACAATTCTACCATTCATTTCTGTGACAGCTTTAGTGGCTTCTTCTGGTGATGAAAAGCATACAAAGCCAAATCCTTTGCTGCGGCCACCTTCCATCATGACCTGTCAGTACAAAACTTAGTTTCAAAACAAGAGAATGTATCTACTCAACTCGCGTGAGTTTCAGCTTACTAGCAGTGAGACCACGTTTGTTTACTGAATTGATCTATAAAAAGGAATACGTATGCTTAATTAATAGCTGTTTACTGAATACAGATGAAAATCTCCATGAAGTAATAATGAGGACACTATTGCACTGAAAAGATGTCATTTTTCTCACATTAATATCAGTACTCAGTTTATTTCAAGAAAGGATGATCACCCGCATTTAACCTGAGATGTACAACAACCAAGAAAGCAGATGTCCATGTATACAGTATATAGCATACAGTAGCAGTGCTAAGTGACCAGGTCACATCTGTTAGTCAGTGAAACAAATCACTGTCCCTTGGTGAAGAATCACTGTTCATTTTCAGAGAAAGCATGACTACAATCTATAAACTTTACCTTTGCACTAGTTATTGTACCAAATGGGGAGAATTCTTTTCGAAGACGCTCATCATCAATCCCATCATCAAGATTTTTCACATAAAGGTTTACACCCTGAAAAAAAAAAAGGTGAGTTATTTTTGAAAGCAAATGGTCTGTGTAAATCTAAAGATATCATAGAATAGAGTTAGTCCTCTTGAATTAAAACTGAACCTGGTATCTGGTGATCCTGTCTTGCTTCATTTGTTCAAACTTGCGCTTCAGCTCCGTCTGTCTTTCCACCTTTTTCTGAGCCCGGCCAACGTAGATTTGTTTCCCATTGAGCTCTTTCCCATTCATCTCATCTACAGCCTTCATTAATAAACAAGAGGTTAGCAGTGCTTTGTATTCCAGTCAAAAAAAAGTAATCCAAATATAAAAAGTTACATAAGGAGTCCAGAAAAAGAGCCAACCCATCCAAAATATCACTAGCTTAAACAAAATACCCCAAGACTTCCCTGCTTAAAGTATAATGGAAATTGCTTTCTGAGTGTGCTTCTGCCCAGTTACAGAAAAGTCACAAGGGATGCAAAAAACTTTTCTTATATGAAGTTGAGGGGAAAAAAAAAGTCACATAATGAAGAACTATTCCCTCCAGCCTTATCTTGCTAAAGGCAGAGAAAAGAAAGCAAATTAAGTTGAAAAGCTCTAATTCACACACCTGACTTCTGTTTTTAAAAGTAACATCTGAAACTCTAGTATCTACAAGATTTTCTTATACTACATTAAGCTACAACTGGCATATATGGCTTAAAAAAAAAAATCTGCCATTAAGGAAATGAGAGTATGAAAATATGAACTTTTTGCTGTTACAAATAGTTTACAACTATTAAGATGTGAAAACTCTGGCACAGATTTATTCAATTAATTTAAAAACCAGCAGTCACCAGTTTATTGTATACCTTCATGATTAAAGCCATTAAACACATATTTACCGAGATACTAGAATTGTACATTATTTAAAACACCCAACAGGTGATTTTGACTACTGTCAGAGAAACAATTCATCAATGAACGTATGCAAGACTGAACAATGTGGATGTAAGACAGACAGGGTATGTTCTCATCTCTTGCCTGTACACTCGCAGTACTGACAAATCAGTGAAATGCCTTTTGAAAAGCAAACTTCCTTTGTTGCTCTGATTTGCTCTGTGCCAAGTTTTTCTCCTGATGCTATGTCCCTACTGCCACAGTCAACTGCCACATCAAAGCAACCAGCTGACAAAGAATTAAGTTATACAGCATACTGGTATGTTATAGACATATACACGAATTAAAAGGACCCTTCTTCCAAAGTTACTCTTCAGAGTAAAAGCAACATCACAGGGCTCTGACTATTACAGCTGTGCCAAACCTGCTCC